TTTCCAGCTCTCCATTTCTCTGAAGTCCCTCCTAGGGTCTCAGAATAGAAATGCTTTGCAGAGAATGAAAACTCTTACTTGATAATTAGCATTACTGATCTGAAAAAAAATGATACCCGACCACTTAGATTTAATGAAAGCTGGCTGAAATACTATGTGGGAAAAAGGAGGGAGAAAGGTTCTTGGAAGGTTTTGTAGAAAAAGTCATAGACATAGACCAGGGAACAATGATATCCACAGCATTAGCCACCGATGAGAGCAACAGGAAAGGGACAAATCCCATTTTCATGACCAGAGCATCACGTATTTTCAAAAAAATGTCTAGATATAGCTTCGAGGATGTTATTCATTTGTTTATTCAGGCATTAATTCATTAATTTATTCATTCATGATTTCCATGTACTTAATTAGCACTTATTATAGCCATCATCTACTGTATAATGTTAACCCCAGGCTATGTGTTGAAATATACATTATCTGTTATCTCCCCTAGTGTGTGGTACTAGGGGAATTCCAGGCAAAGTGAATAATATGCACAAATATCTTTAAAAGGAAAGAAAGAGGAGAACGTAAGAAAGCAAGAAAGCAAGAAAGACAAACATAAATGAGAATACTAATTGAAGGAAAGAATAGTGGTGCTACAGTGAGTAGGCGAGAGCAAGCCAAGACTTTGTAGGACTTTGTAGGACATTAACTTTGGACTTTATCCTAAACACAGTTAGAAGTTTTAGAAGTTCTAAATAAGAGCAGAAGAGAAACAAGATTAGATTTTCATTGATCACGGATATTCTGGCAACTGAATGGAGATTTGGAGCAGTACTTACTGGACACAGTGGACACTTGGCTGTAGGTGAGGAAGCTATTGCTGTGGTTGAGACAAGACAAAGTGCTACTCACATTATCACTTGGGGTTATAGAGAAGTGAACAGATTTGAAAGATGGAGGAATTAGAATGCATGGGACTTTGCTTACCATTCAGGCCATGTGTGTAAGGAAAAATCTAGTTTATTCATTATCTCAAATCTGGAATAATTTTAAAGCGAGTTAATAGTTTTAATAGAGTTAATACCACAAGTGGTTACGAAGTAGTACCAAGTAGTACTAATTTTCCAGCATCCGCTCTTATATATGCATATACAGTATATGTATCCACCCATATATACACATACATATAATTACTAATTATATGGTTGTATGTAAAATAATACATATGTGAAAAATAATATATTAACTGTCTATTCAATTCAAACTTCACAAAGGGTCACAATTATATCTATGTGTGTGTATATATACACACACGTAGATGGAGCTGTACAATTATTTAATTATTTGTGGTCCTTTGTAAAGCTTAAATAAAATCTTTTGGTTTCTACATGATGATTGTCTTCAAAACATGTATTTAATACCAGCTATCTCTTATTCCTCTGTAGTAGAGGTTGACAAAATAGGAACCTTTGCCCAAATTTAGCTCATAGCTTGTTTTTGTAAGAAAGATTTTCTTAGAACACAGACAACTCCCTTTACATATTACCCATGGCTTATTTTGAATGATTACAGTATTTTTGAGGGGCCATGATAGAAATGGATGGCCCAACAGAGTCTACAACATCTATTTTCTGGCTCTTTATAGAAAATGTTTGTCAACTCTCCCTTTACTGGCATATAAACTGATCCTAAAATAGTCATTTGCTCAGTTGATTAAAACACCACCTACTGGATATTTTACTGTATAGGAAATGAATCACATTGTAAAACTGTGAATTTTTTTTTCATGTTCATTGAACATTTCCTTAAAAAACTTTTTATTTTTAATCTCACATTGATGCCCTCAGTAGAGTGCTGTGGTGTCATAGTTCACAGCAACCTCAAACTCTTGGGCTCAAGCAATTCTCTTGCCTCAGCCTCCCAAGTAGCTGGGACTACAGGTGCCTGCCTCCATGCCCGGCTATTTTTAGAGGCAGAGTCTATCTCTTGCTCAGGGTGATCTTGAACATGTGAGCTCAGGCCATCCACCCACCTCGGCATCCCAAGAGTGCTGGGATTATAGGTGTCCTTAAAAGAATTTAAAAGTTGTGTATACCACTAAGAAATAGTTACTGCAGAGGAAAGAAGAATTCCATTAACCATACTGATTTTTAAAAATATAATTCCTTCCAAAAAATCTAATACAGAGAATTTGTATAGAACTTGATGTTACATTTGGATGCCAAATTCTGAAAAGAGTTCCATCCATCTCGTATTTAAGAATCTCAAAGACTGCCTTAAATGCCACTTATGTTCCATTTAACTGAAATGTTAAAATATTTGGAAAATAGATAAATTAAGTCAAATGAATGTTTGCAAGTGTTTTACATGGAGGATAGTAAGTACATCACTGGGTACCTAATTTATACCCTTACCATTAAATAAATATACAGACCTCTCTTCCACTCCCATACAGCCAAGAATGAAGTTTGCATTTTCTCTCTATATTCATAGCTGCCAAATTGTTTCTAATCCTACCTACATATCACATAGCAAAAAAAGAGAGGCTTTAACATTTTCTTCTAAAGGCCTTTCATCAGTCTTCTTCCCAAGATGAGTTTGAATAGCACTTCAAGTGGCGTGCTTCAAAAAGGAAAATGTCAAGATAGGATTGTTTACCAACCAGAATCAAAAGGATACCCTCCTAGCATGCTTTAGGCATGCCCCTCACCCTGGTAAAGTTGCCAGGGAACAACTGGCCAAACAAATTTGTGTTTCAGAATCTAAAATTCAGGATTGGTTTAAAAGGTACAGAGTGAAACAGAGTCAGAAAGCTCCTTAGGCAAAGATGAAACCCAGAAGCACAGCCAGCCTCAGTACTGTGTCAGGAGAGCATACCCAAAGAAGCCAGATCAGACCAGGCAGCCATCACAATGAATCAGAGAAGCAAATTGGTTCAACCCTTTGATAAGAACCTATTCCCTGATATAGTTGCCAGGAAGAAAGTGGTAGACAAATACACATTTGGGAATCAAGAATTCAAGTGTGGTTTCAGAACCAAAGATCTCCATATCACAAGCAGAGCAAAAGGCAGCCCAGGGCTTCTCGCTGATCCCCCAAATGGGACACCAGATCAGACTGTTCGGCAGCACCAAATTGACCTGTCCTCTCCCCTAGAGGGGTCTCATCGGGGTCCCATCGGGGTCCCGAGGTTGCTATATCTTACCTTGTAGAATGATGGGATGAGGTGGCTCTGGAGGCTCTGATTGCAGAATGGGACCCTTTTAAAGGGACACACTGAAACGGACTTGTGGCAGCAGCAGGCACGACCAATGAGCCATTTCACCTGTTCATCCAGCCGCATCAGCAACTTGGAAACCTCAAACCTTTCCAGTGGTTCTCAACCTTCTTAATCTCGCAACCTTTTAATACGGTTCCTGTGGGTTGCCACCTACAGATTGGGAACCGCTGCTTTAGGCCAACTCCTGTCATCCACAAATTTTCAATAAAAGGCACAAACCTTTTCTGAGTCCTGATCTGCAGGAAGAAGACTCTCCAGGGCCCCCCACACCCCTCAGTGAGGGAGGTTTTCAGCTCTGCTCCAATGCTGCAAGGTGCGCCAGGGGCTGAGCTCCAAGAGGAGAAAGTGTCACCCTGAGTACCCTGGTCCACACCTCCTTCCTCTTGATGCAGATAAAGGATGAACAACAGGACACCCTGTCCTGGAGCCAGACTAATGCAGGGGGAAGATAAATTATTACTCGAGGGTTTCCGCCCTGTGTGGGGGCAGCGGTCATCTTCTGTATTCATTTCAAAGATTGAAAGATTTTTTCAAAGTCCCACACTGCCTCAGGAAGCACCCAGCTCGAGCTTGGGGGCAGTGGACACATGTGCTGAATCGTCCTGGACAAAAGCATTTTTCTGATAAATACCACCTCCTTCCTATAATTGCCAAGTCCTCTACAGTCTGCGAAAGTCACCAATTTTAACCCAACTGAGGCAAGGAAAAGAGGCCTATGAGACACACAGGCATTCCTCCCTTCTGACAAGGTGGGAAGGCAAACTTGAAACTAGTTTGAAGTGTGGAAAATAAGGAATGAAGGAATACTGTATTAGCTGATGATATGAGCTCCCCGCCCCCAAGTTCTGAAAGTCTGAATTGGGAACTGGAAACTACCTCAGCATCCATAAATAGGGTATTACTAAATGGATGAGGCTGTATGTGTAATACTGAGTATCCTTCACTTACAAATGAGATAAATGTGTTTTTTTCCTATGAAACATTTAAAATGTACAAAAAGTTACAGGAGGAACATAACACCATGCAATCACTGAACATAGTCTAATGATGTTACTATTTCCACATTTTTTAGGTTTTTCACATAAATTTACATGTGTGTGTGTAGACATGAAATTCCTCATTTTATTATAAATAAAGTGTATGTTAACTAAAAAAAAAAATAAAGGCCTTTCCTCTTGATTACTTGTTATGATACTGTTAGCCAATGTCAAGTCAATTGGACTGGGTTTCTATAAAAATGAAGTCTAAGTTTGAATTAACTTTTCACCAAATGATTTTCACAAAGCGTGAAATTATCTCAGCACAGAGAGTCACCAACTGAAATTAAACCGTTGTCAAAGTCTTCTTAATGAGTCATTACTCATGGCAACTAGCCTTCTTTTCCCCCTTCACACAACTATGTGCGTTGAGAAAAAAATGACGCTTCTGCTAACCAGTTGTTAGTGGAATCTGGACTAGTGGAAAGACCTTCTCATAGTTGAAAACTTCCTCATGATATGCGTTAAGCATATCCTTGCAATGACAGCAGTGGTAGCCACATGCCCCTTGTCAGAAAAGTACCACGACAGAACCATTAAAAAGTGCTAGCAACTTGCATCTTATGTGTCTCTCTAAATGTCAATGATGCCATTAAAAGACCATAGTCTTCACAAAAAAGAGAGGGTCTCCATGTTTACTGTGTGCCTTCCTTGATGTTCTTTAATATACTTGGTGATCTAATGTAAAACTGTTTTTTTTAAATAGGGAACGTTTCAGGAATTTGCATGTTATCCTTGCGCAGGGGCCCTGCTAATCTCTGTATCATTCCAATTTTAGTATATGTGCTGCTGAAGTGACCACAGAACTGTTTATTTTTTTAACATTATGAAAAAATACATACACACATAGATGCAGAGGGTGCCAAAAATGTATACACATTTTAAGAAAGGAAAACACTGTAAAAAAATTATAACGCTCAAGTCACATTGGACTTTTGCCATTGTAAGAGCATCTCAAACATGACTTGCATTCATCTTTGTTACTGGTATATATTGAATATTCAATTTTAATACAGTTATTTTCTTTCTCAAAATGTGTATAACTTTTTTGTCACCTTCTCTGTGTATGTGAGTATAAACACACACACACATATATATGTATATATATATCATATATTATCATATATATATCTTATATATATATTCATAGAGAGAGAAGGGAGGGGCGGGAGAAATGGAGAGATTATTTCATAATGCATCAGAAGTCCTTATTATGTAAAAGAATGGTCTGTATATTTTCATTATTTTCTTCACTCATCAAACACCTAACATAAGCCAGCCCTGCAGATGCAAAAGTGAATTCTGACCTGGCCTCTGATATCAATGATTAACAATTAAGTGGGTTAAAAGGTAGAAGGAGAGTCAAACAGTGTGGATAGGTGGGACCACATGTGCCCAAGCATGAGGTGAAAAGAGTGCATCATTCATTTTATGTGTGCCCTGAATAAGGTCTAGGCTTGTAATAGGGGCCTACAAGGTCTTGTGTCTTCCTCCTGATGTGATATTATTCTGTTTCTTGATATAATAATAAATTACTTTCCATCTCATGACTTCTTCTTCTTTTTTTAAGACAGTGTCTCACTCTGTCACCAGTACTAAAGTGCAGTGACATCACCATAGCTCACTGTAACCTCACACCTCTGGGCTCAAGTGATCCACCTGCCTCAGCCTCCTCAGTAGCTGGGACCACAGGCACATGCCACCTTTCCCAGGTAATTTTTCTGTTTTCTGTAAAGACAGGGTCTTTCTCTTGCTCAGGCTGTCTAGAACTTCTGGCCTCAACTAATCCTTCCACCTGGGCCTCCCAGAGTGCTGGGATTACAGATGTGAGCCATTGCTCTTGGCCCCCATCTCATGATCTTTGCTGTTTTTTGACAAGAAAAGTTTTCACATCTGTGCTTAAAAGTCACTTTCCCCGTCACTGCCCTAACCCTACTTCATATTCTCTTACTGCTCCTCCTCTATTTATTTCATCATACCTACTATATGCCAATATTTTATTTGGTTATTAATTAATTTATTCTCATCCTTTAGACTTTAGTTGCTATTACTACTATGATCCCAGGTCCTAGAACAAAGCCTGGTTCGTGGTAGAAGCCTACTGAATACTTCTAAACTGAATACTCTAAAGATCAAGTGGACACAATCCAGAGATGGTGCTGGATAGTTCATCAAAAGTTCAATCATGCAGATCATGTTATTTGTTAATCGAGAAACTTTAAAGTTTATTTTAAGAGCTGTAGAAGGCTGTGGATGATTTTAATTATGGAGAGTTAAACTATTGAACCTCATGGACCACACTTTCCTCCCTTTTTTGTACTTTTTTATAATTGTATAGTACCTCTTGCTGAAATTATAGACTCTAGTTTCTCATCTCTGTATTCAAGCAGACAAAGGCAGATCCCTTGTTTACATAAGGAGCTGTGACTCAGCCTGTTTATGTTAAAATAGCAGATCCCGGCAAGCAGCAAGCGTGGTTCAAAGGAATAAGGCGCCAGCCCCATATGCTGGAGGTGGTGGGTTCAGACCCAGCCCCAGCCAAAAACTGCAAAACAAACAAACAAACCAAATAGCAGATCCCCAAACCAGCCTTATTTTAAGTGGGTAAAAGTTGATCAGACTTATGAAGATGGTTTCACTCAAAGCAGGCAGTGGACACTGGTAGGTTCTTTGGCTACCTCAGAGGAGTCTGTGGTTTCTATCATATTGTCTGAGTATAGTACAAAGTTCAAGGTTTATTGCTGATGGTTAATGGTGCATATATACATTCATAAAGCTTTAAACAAGATAAATCATTTAGACACAGGTTAAATACCAAATATCACAGAAAAGCCATTAGAGAAGACAAATCAATTCCCTTTTTCTGATTAACATTTAAAAAATCCACCGAACTATTTAGTTTTAATACTTTTATTTAAATAGGAAGCCATGAAGATTTCCTTTATTTCTCTTTAGTCTAAGTCCTTTCAGTGAGTTATTTTGTTCAGTAAACCACAAGGAATGTGATTTTCAAAAATAAAGCCTCCCCCCTTCCTTCATGGTCAGAAAGTCCAGTCATTTAAGGAGTGAAGCTGATTTTATTTCCTATTTTGTCTTACATGGACTGCATTCAGCCTCAGGGTAATTACAGTCATACAAACCTTAAAAACAATTTCAGCGTGATTTTTAAGGACAAATTCTACCACTTTCATTATAAAGACTGAACAGTATTCTTCCTCCTTCAAATTGCTCTAGGGAAGAAAAGATACGTTTCTATGGTGAGTTTTATGGCATAATTTGTAAAATGTTGGCATTTTGGACTGAGAAAATAATTATTTCTTGTCCTCAATTGTGTTAAAGTCATCTCTGTGAAACTCTGTTCTCAGGTAATTAGAATGGCAAGATAACTTACTTTTTAATCAAAAGACATGAAGTCATTAAATCCCTTTTTCCCCTAAATAAACATACAACTTCTGGTTTTAGAGAAGAACAATAATCAACTAAATTAAAAAATATGCCTATTGTATGCCTCTGGTCACGAAGCTTCAGACTCCAGTAGCGTGAGTCATGCAAAGGAAAGGGAAAGGTGGTTTTTGCCATCCAGGAGATTAATATCAGATTGGAAAACAGGAAAGACAAATTATTCTGAAATAAGGCTTGGATTTCTTGGTTCTTTGGTAGCAGAGCAGACATGCAACCGTATGTTTTAATACGACTCAGAGATAACTCAATGCTCCCTATAGGAATTTGTGGTATTGGTCACATAGAAACATTTTAAAGTGAAACGATTTCTTTTCCCTTTGTCTGATTCTGGTAAGTAGGAATGGGTCCTTTGGAAACTAGGGCTTCATTACTTTCTCAAAAAACATAGCAAGTGTGGTTGAAATATATCTTTGAATATCTGGGCATCATCAGACGTCTCTGGGCTCTGAAACTGTGGACTGTGTCATGCTTCTACCTGGTTCAGTGGCCAGAGAGGCTTGACAAACTTATAACATTCTCTTTTTCTCTGGTGGATTAACCTACTCTGGCATCATAAATAATGCCCTGAGAGGTTTGTGGGTAGAGACAATTTTCTTCTTGACCTAAAACTTTTTTATTCCTATGACTATGTAACAATAAGGGGAAAATACATAAAAAGATGCCTATTTGTGTGCATTAAGTTACTTCAGAGTCAGAGGTAATTATGTGGCACATTTGACTCTCACCTGTAATTGACAGGATTTTGAAGTTTGCAAAGTGCACCTTCAGTTAGAAAATTAAGTACCATTACCAAAAGCTAAAATGTACTTTGAATTGTTTTAAAGGACCATTACTATAATGTAATGATTTGAACCAAGCTTTCTTTTCTGGAACTTGGTTTTCTTTCTAAGACTGCTCACAAAAAAGGGAAAATTGTGTTTATACTAATTAAGGTCAAAAATTGGTTTAAGTCCGACTTCCGTAGCTATCCCCTGAAATAACCAAAGTTTAAAGCATCACCAATGATAATCAAAACACCTGCGAATAGATCAGTAATATTCACGGATGATGAGGAGTGGAAGGAAGTATCTTGAGCTGCTTTTTTAGGGGGGTATTTGTAGAGATAACCCATCATTTTATTACCAGACAAATGCAAAAATATTTTTTCTTGTATTACACAATATGTAGAATGCTAGAGACCTACTCCAAAGAAACATTTCCTATCCTAACTCAGTCCAGTTGTGTTAACACCGTGGTTGATCCAATCCATCTGGGGTTGAGTAGGATTTTATAAATAAGTAAATAAATAACTTTGGAAATTATCAAAGGTTCCGTTGGATACCTAAAGCTCTTACTGGGGCAGGGATATGAAGAGGGAAGAAACATAACATACACTTGTTGAATGTTTACTATGTGCCAAGTCATTTTGTAAGTACATGTCCCTGTAAACATGTTAATTATTAACATCTAATACAACAAACTGCTAGGGTAAGTCCAACACTCCCATTTCACAGACAAATGATTATTAGAAGTGCTTTTTTAATTTCTGAAAGTTGTACAGTTAGTGGCAGAGCCAGGAATCAAAGAAAGTTTATCTCCAAAACTTATACTCTTTATCTCTATGGTATACTACTTATAACACAATTAAGTAATCTCCAATTGTCAGTGAGAAATAATTATGTAAGATATTTAAACTGTGTTTTTTTCCTGCAATTTACTAAAAACACACATTCTGCATTTATTTCTTCTTAGCAATGCTGTTTGTTGAGATTTTTTAGTTGAGGAGGGCTTGCTTTTGTTAAAGGAAAAATTATTTTGACACTTGCTAAAATGGTAAGGAAGGCTTTCTTTAAGACTATTATGGTATGGGTATTGTGATAGTTGAGAGATATTGGGCTCAATTCTGTGCAAGCACAGTTGATTATTTATAGCCAAGAAGAAGGGTTAGGGGGTTAGAGAATGAGAAATTACTAAGAGAAGGCATTAGAGGTAAAGAGTTCTCGTTAACTTCACCTAACAAGATTCTTCCTGATAGCAGGCCAAGGACTTAGACATCAAAAATGGAGAATGAGGAACTTCATCAGATAGTATACATGAAGGGTGGGGGTATTCCCACTAAATTTCCTTACCGGTTTTCTTGTTAAGAATAGGCTAGGGAGGCCAAAGACAGGTTGGGGCCAGGGTCAAGGGTTAGCTAAAAAAAAGAGGTCAGTGGAGATTAACTCAAGTTTGGCCAAGGAGATAGTTCTTCTTGCACAATTGACATTCTTTTCTCCTCTACATAGCATGTATATTTTTCATTCAGTCCTTTTTTATTCATTAAGGGTCATCAGAATCACCTGCTGAGACTTGGTAATAAAG